AAACTCAAATCTTTTGTGAATCTTTGATTTAAAGCTTTTAATATGAAATTTCTAGATCTATTATTCATATGCTTTAAGGATTTTGAGTTGTTTTATCTGAATATTAAATTTCTTGAGTTGTTCATTGATTTAGGGATTTATTGTTAAAATTCTGAATCTGATTTTTATATTTACATTGTGATATTTTCTGTATAAATCAGATTTCTTGGTACTCATCGTTTAGAAAATTAATTGTGTAATATCCAAGCTCCTTGGTGCATTAATTTTAGAGATTTTGTTACATATGTCATTGGTTTAATTTTCTGCATATGGCATAAATTTGTGGAGCTTAATTTGATATTACCGTGATATATTTGGTGTGATAAGACATTGTATTTTTGGGTTATTTCACTTGTTACAGTTCTGAAAAATTTTGTATTGGCTATTAAAGTGGAGTAGTTGCGTGCTGTAAATCTGTCCTAGGTGTGTGGGTGCAACTGTGTGAGTTGACAACCTTGTGCTTGGCTTGAGAGTGTGTCTCAAGGCTTGGAGCCTCAAGAATCCACTAGGGAGAGTGGAGGTCTTGTGTGAGAGGAGTTGGTGAACTCTGTAGGTTCGGCTTGAGAGTATTCTCAGAGCTTGGAGCAGTGTAGGCACTAAGAAAGTTTTTGATATCTTGTTTGATTGCATGTGTGACGCGTGTTAGTAAAACAGATACACTTGAGATAAATAAAATATCTGCAACGACTTCAGTTTGAACGTAGCACTCTACTTAGGCTTAGTGGGTGTGAATCAGGATATATCGTGTGTCTCTTGTCTCTTTGATTTAATTTCTGAATATTCTGTTTAGAGAATTAAAGTAACACTGATTTCTGGTTTAAAAGTGTTGTAGCAGAATTAATATTTTTCTGTTTTGTTTAAGAAAATTACATTGCTGCGTTTATACTCTATAAATTGTTAAGGTACGCATTCTGTTACTACATTGTTCTTAGCATTGTGAAAAATTATTTTGGGCATATAGGGACTGAAGAAAAAGTTTTTGAAAAAGTTTAGAACACCTATTCACCCCCCTTTAGGTGTTCCGTAAGCGTTCTGTGTAAGAAGTCACTTGCCCAACATATAGTAGCACATTGAGAGGAAGTAGGAGAATACTGGATACCAAAGTTGGAGATTTCAGAGAGAGAGATAGGAGCTTGAAGGAGACTGAGCAACATTGATCCTTTTTTTTTTTCTTCTTCTTTTTATTTCTTTGTTTTGTTTATGCCAGATATGTCTAGTTAATTTTCTGTTGTAGTTAGGGTCCTGGATCCGATGTGAACCCTTTATGATTTCTGAATTGTTTTTATAATTATTTTAACTCAATTTGTTTTATTTTACCTTGAATGAATTTTTCCATATCCTTCTTAGAACTGATCACTCTATTATACGACTTTGCGGGTTAGAGCTCACAATAGGCATATTGAGATTTTAATTCATATTGGGATAAAATAACAATTTGTGCATGATCTAGACATAGACTTGTATAAATTACAGACTTTTTAATTCATCTACTTAATACTTGATTCAAGAGGGATTACTAGAACACTAGGATTCTAATTGGGTTAAAAGGTTAAATACACTAAGACATTAGGGTTTAACTAATTGATTTGAGAAAGATGAATTGTCTAAACTAATGAGTTAATTAATTATAAGAATTAATTCTGATTTCTAAAGGAGGATTAAAGGTGAAATGTATCCTGGCTACAATTATGTATTACAATCTTTATTCGTATTTTTTCTGCGTTCTTGATTATTCTTGAATGTTCTTGATTTTCATTGCAATTAATTTCAATTATTTTTCTTTTAATTCAAAATCTATTTGTTAAACCAAATTGGATTTTCCAAATTAAGGGAATAGTTAGGATAATACTTGTTTTAATCCTCGTGGAACGATACTTTTCTCACTGCTTTATTACTTGAAACGATTGGTATACTTGCCGAAATCATAACAGGTGGGAATGGAATTGGAAAGGCCAAAAGGCTTCATCGTTAAGCGTCTTTATTTAGCTTTTAGCTTTTTGGTATGATAATAGATAAACCATTTATAATGTGAAATACTTTTTATGTATTCTGACATTGCTGTTTTACACTCAAAGCTGCAACCATGAAATGTAAAGAACCTTGAGATATACCATCCCAAAAGCTAGCTCAAAGGGTGGGAGTGCCCAAGGCCTTATAAAGGCCACATTAGTTGCCCACACAATCAATGTGAGACTATATATCTCAACATGCCCCTTCACGCAATAGCCCTTTGGGCTAGAAGCGTGGAACTGCACATGCCCAATTTTTGGTTTACCTGGCGTCGTGAAAATCGAACTTGTGACCTTAAAGTCAATCAAGCTCTGATACCATGTAAAGAACCTTGAGATACACCATCCCAAAAGCTAGCTCAAAGGGTGAGAGTGCCCAAGGCCTTATAAAGGCCACATTAATTGCCCACACAATCAATGTGGGACTATATATCTCAACATGAACAATTCCTCAAAAGGGTTATATATATATGCCTTATAGTTGAAGACTTGAAGCAGTTGGGTGAGCGTTAATTCAAGTTTAAATGTTCGATTTAAGATAAGTCAATAGTCAAGATTTCAAAAAGGAAAAACCGTGTGATGATAGACAATTAGTAGCTTAGAAAAATGATGGATTTGAAGAATAAAGATGAAAGTTCCTTGGCAGAAAGTTATTTATATTATCTAACAGTAAACAAACAAAATGGTAATCCTTCTTTATTACGTTTAATAATTTATCACAGTAGCTCCAATATGAAGTGCAAAAGAAACACAAAAGTCATACATTGTTTCATAAAGTTCATAGAGAAATAATAAGAGGTCAATTGAGGCACTTTTTAAGCTTGTACGGTTCAAGCATCACTTTCTATCCAACAAAAGTAAGAATTTTGAGAATGTGTTGCCACTTAAATTCCGCGGTCCGCCCACAAAGGCATTTTAACTTTCAAAGATGTGTTCATGGGAGCATATGCATTTTTAACCGAGGGGCAGGGCATATTGTATTGTACTATATAGTATTATCAATTTTATTATTCTATAGTGTAATGTGAATGTGAGTTTTACCAACAAAAATAGTGCAATGTGCGAACTTGGTAAGAGGCTAAGTAGAAGGGAAAAGTCAGAAAAAAATGAGGTTAGTTACCAACTGGAATGACCCCAAAAAAAATAATCCATCTTGACTCTCTCCGAATTCCCAGTTCTTCAACATTTCCCCCCCTATAAAATAATATCTATTCTTGTGTAAGTGATATTTATGACTATTATCTAGCAACTAATGAGTGGTTTCATGCGCGTTCAAAGTATTACTTTCATAGCTGTCACATAGAGACGATTCCAATCTAACTTAAGATCTTAATAATAGCCATCAAATGTTTTGTTGACAATTATGGTTTATAATTAAACTTATGTCTCCTCTTGGGCTTCACCGTCAAAATCAAGTAAATTTTGTAATTATGCATATATGGAAGAGATTGTTAATCAATCTCTCTAGTCAATTATTGAAGATTTCTGATTTGTAAGTCTAAACCTATCCTTTTTTTTCGGTAAATAGTCTAAACCTATCATAATTTATAGTTAATAATTACGTCAAATATCATTAGTTAATTATTTTAAAAGGTAAGTAAGTGTTTTGCATATATATTATAATCCATATTTCAACCTTCAGATACTGATTGAATAGGTTTTGTTGCATATATAGGTCAGTTCTAGTATAAAATTGGCTCTCATAGCTACTATTTAGTCACATTTAAATGGATTGCCAAATAATATTGTGGCCAAATATGGACCACACTTAGGGATGTAAACAGGTTAGACGACCTATTAGGAATCTATGGTTCGGCCTACGTTAGATTAAATCTAACTTAGTATATTTAATAAAATAGAATAAGTTTGGATCTTAAAAAAAACTTGTTCAAAAAATAGATTGTACGTCTAGTTTTACAAGGTTTGACTTACTAATCTCCAAGTCAACCTAAATCATATTATTTATTTTAATTAAAATAAATAAAATAGTTATTTATATAATTTCACTTCTAAAAAATATCATTTTATATTTTTTTCTAATTCTTAATAGACTTAAATAGGCTAATAGATATAAACATGGCCTTTTGATGATTACAAGCCAGACTAGACATATAATTTAGCATACACTAAGTTAGTAGGTCAGACCAGAATTACATATACATATTCTGCAGTTTTAGGCATATGAAACCAGACATCTTATCTTGGCTTTCGTATAATGGCTACTCCTTTTACTAAATTTACGTTTGACATTCAAAATTCCTTTCCCTTCTTCATGGTTACATTTTCCAATTAAGCAAAGGGCTTTCTCTTTTGTGGTTGAACCATTTGCTATATTTCCATTCTCAGACATATTCACCACATTCGACTTAGAGAGTACTCCTCTAGACCTCTCCTATCACTCTACCCTCCAATAATATTCGCTGCAAATTTCTTTCCCGCTTTGCATTGTTCTCTCTCTTTCTTTGCAAACTTTTCTCTCTATCCAGACAATAATCGTTGCACCCCGTAGCGAATTTGGAAGAGATCGACACATATTTTGCTTTTGTTTAAAGCATCCTGATATTTTGACTACTTAATTCGCTGTTACTAATAGCCAATTAGGTGGCCACTACAAACTACATCTGCATTTCGGGAATTTGATCACTAAATTCGCTACCTTTACAGTGAATTTGCACGCGTGGCATTTCAAAAAAAATTACTATTTATGTGGCATTTGGGCAAAATAGTCAGTTACTTGCTCATGCAAAATCAATTATGCTCTTTTTTATATTTCGCTTGCAGCTAGATGCATAAGCTCCGTTTCTTTTCTTTCAAATATAGATAGATGCATAAGCTCCTTTATGTGGGTAATAATAATGTCTTAATAGTTCACGATTTATAAAGATAACAACAAAGTACCTAAAATAATAACTGCAATAACAATATTTCATAACACATGCATGTATGACCATCTTAATTAATTCCAGGCGTAATTAGGCCAAGAACTTTAAATTCAGCTTCAAGGATGCAACTATCATTCACCAAGAAACCATTATTTGGGTCTTTAAATTTTGTCAAGGCCACAAGCTGTCTGGACCCCCATGCTGAACTCGAATTGGAGAACTTTTGACAGGCTACATGAGAAATAAGTGCAAGTTAAAATCAATAGTTTAGGATAACATTCAACAAAGCTATAACTGAAGAGCAAGGTCAAGAAAAAGAAAAAATAACATTTTTGTTTTGGGATAATTCTATTTTAACAAGAGTGAAAAATAATGTGTATCGTTGGAATATTTGAGCTTGTAAAAGCAAACATAGCCTCACATTTTCGTTGAACATGTTGCCCACTGATTTGGTCTTTTGTGCGCACAGTGTAATCCACAAGTAGTTTAGTGTCGGGAGGGAGAGTCGAGACCTCCACAGCTAAAAATAATGAGATACTGTTACCCTTGCCCTCAGCGTGTCCATTAGGATATAAATTAAGCTTCCTGAAAAAAAAATGGCAAATTAGCCATAAAAACAATATGCATTCAGAACATACCAACAAAGAATAATTATTAAATTAATCGATACACAGAGATATCAAATTGTTACTCAAAAGATTTTGTGCATTTATTTGATGATTAATTAGAGAATAATATAAACCATTAAAAAAGTCATCTCCCAATACTTTAAGGTTTCGAGTTAAATTGGTTCTTTACATGGTATCAGACATTCAATGATCACAAGTTCATGAGTTCGATCCTTACTGCCCCACTTTCGAATAGAATTAAATAAGCACAATGTAAACCAAAAATTGGGCCTATATAATATTCACGCTTCAAGCGCAAAGGACTCTTGCGTTAGGCGTGTTGTAGAGGATAATATAAACCATTAAATTAACATTTAAATAAACAACAATTCATTCTAAATTAAATGTATTAATTCGAACATTCTTTAGGAAAGTTAGAAGCATCTATAAGTTTGTATGTATTTATAAAGATATACCATTTGTAGTCTCCACCGACAAACGATACGGACTCGTACTCTTCTAAATTAGCGATTGAAAAGTTGTTAAATTTCCAACTAAATGAATGAATGACAGATCCATGAATCATTGATAAGCAATCGCCTTTATTCATGGTCTTGACAACGAAAACCTCAACTCCAAACGCACAGGTATCGTCAATGAGATATCCATTTGAAGGGTCTTTAAATGTGTCAAGGTCAATGAATTTTGGGATACCCCGCTCAGTTTTCAGGACATGGAAACGCCTTACAATTGCATCTGCATGCATTTCAATTTTCAAATATATGTAATATATGATAAGATATTCAAAATTTAATCATACATTTTCTATATTTTTGAAAGTGACATAGAAAACAAGTTTCACTTGTTCAGTCATAACAAGTGAAAATGGATTAATGAATAAGAAGAAAAGAAAAGAATGGAAATGCAATGACAAAGAAATTGATGAACCGTACTAGTTAGCTACAAATGTAAAATGATGATAAGTACTGAACTCCAATTCTACCTTGAGTGGCAACATACTCGTCGTTGAGAAAATTATAAACAGAAAAATTTACAGTGGCGTTGACCTCCCAATCAATAGGTGAACAACATGTATTCATAAGCACCAAATAAATAGAAATATGATCGTGCCCATCTTCTTTTAAGTTTCCAGTTGGGTATATGGACAGGCTCCTGCATTCACATCCATTGAGCATCACATTGAATATATATATATATATATATATATATATATATATATTTATATATATATATATATAAGATGAAAAAGGGTGTATATAATAATATATATTATCATTATTGTGAACTAGTTCTGAAGGTAAGCTAGGTTCAACTCGTATATAAGCAAAGGGGGAGAGTTCATTTGAAGGGAAAAAAAAGCATGCATATATACCATTTGTGACCTCCTGCTTCAAACTCTTCCGAGACACATTTTTCTACTGAGGACTTGGAAAGCAATGAGAAGGACTCGATTTTGAATGAGTAATGACTTGGTGGAGCTTTTCTTCCTAAATTAAACAGACCAGCAAATTATATTTAATTGGAGAAACAGAAAAAACAATGATTGAAGAGAAGCAACACCTTTCATTGGTCTGATAGACAAAATTGGATTTTCAGTTTTCATCTCCACGATTGATGCAGGCACTTCTAGTATTGTGGTGAGGACCGGGGAGCTGTAATTTATATTTAGGAATTTCTCAAATATTCTAACTTTAGCGTGCAAGTTATGTAATTGGTGATACTATCGGCATTGCTTGCGAGTTTTGTAATTGGTGATACTATCAGCATTGCTTGCGAGTTATGTAAGTAATCTCCCTAATGTTAATTGTAGAATAACTAACTTTTCAAACAAAATTGCAACGTATAAGTTTAAAGGCTTATGTAAATTTAAAAAGAAAATAAATATCCCATATATATAGCTCCTCCCTCGTTTTACTAACCAATAATCAAAAGATTCAAAACATACTAATATAAGTGCATCAATTAGATGAAGTAAAGAATGAAACACAAGGTTCATGTAATATATATATATATATATATATATATATATATATATATATAGGCAGGATCCTTTGACACCGGTGTCAAATTTGAAATTTGACACCTCATCTGAGAGCCGTTAGATCCAAAAAGATCAATGGTGTCACATGCTTACTAATCAGAGTCATTGATCTTTTTTGATCTAACGGCTCTCAGATGAGGTGTCAAATTTTAAATTTGACACCGGTGTCGAAGGATCCTACCTCATATATATATATATATATATATATATATATATATATATATATATATATATATATATGAATGAATGAACGAAACACAAGGAAAAAATTTGAATCCAAAGAATGCCATTTCGCATGTCCAATGTAGCCACCCCTTCATCTTCCCCTCTCTTCTTTAACAACTTCTTATTCATAATAAATATTAATAATTAGGTTTACCAAAAAATAAAAAATAAACTAATAATTAGTAACAATATGTGCATATGTGATATTTTCTACAAAGCGGATTAATGGAATGAATTACCTTCCAATCTAAAACGCATACATGGATGCACGATGTAGCGATTTTCTATCTAAAAAGTTTTTAAACGGAAAGAGACCAAATTAAATAGAGCAGTCGCAAAACAGGTTAAATTTATTGGGCTAGTTCAAATAATTTACAAAAAAATGTACGAGAAAGCTAATAAAATTTAGAAATAGCCTGGAAGTTGGGGTTCGTAAAGTTGAGCTGGAAGAAGACGCTTCAGAAGTTATTACGATGCTTGCTTGTAGAAGCAATGCAGCTTGTCTACCACACATAGTGGCAAGAGTACAAGCTCTTATTGATCAAGATTGGACAGTGGCTCTAAAGCACATCTCTAGAGTAGCAAATGAGTGTGCTGACTGGCTAGCTAACTCTTCCATCCAAAGTTCATTTGGTCTATAGTACTATAAGATTATGCCTGCGGACCTGATTCCCTTTTTTAATTTAGATCTCCAGGGAACATCTCATTGCATAGATGTTGATCCTGGCTAGTTTGAGTACTTTTCTTGTCTGTTTTGTTTTCTGTTTTCTTGGGGCTTAGCCCCTACCTGTTATAAAAAAAATTAGGGAGGGTTATATTGATATTTTTTTTCTTACAAACTACATTAAGTCTGACTAGTCATACTTCAGTCAAGAATGTCTGACCAGTCAGACTTAATGTTAAGAAAAAAAAAATCTTAATATAACTTTCTCCTAAAATTCATGTTTGAATGTAATTTAACTCAATTTACCTTAATCTGATTTGACTTGCTATCCGTCTCGGGGGTGTTTTTTTATCTTGTCTAATTTTTAAAAGAAAAAGCTTAGACAAATATATTTTAATAAAACTATTATTATAAAAAGATTTTAATTTTATAATGAATGAAAAACTAAAAGCTCATGGTCATAGGAGGAACTTCTTAAAAATATATGCTAATATTTTCAGGGCCTTTTATTTATTTTTCTGTTAGACTTTTATTCTAAATTTGTATTTAGAAAATTTACCCTCTACCCTAATGATAAATCATTCGATCTCCTCGTTCTCTCCTCCAACACGCTGAGAACATCACCACGAGTGTTTGTCCCCGAAATGTACTTACCTTTGGTTCATCTCTTTTCTTTTGCACAAGGTAAGCCTTTATTTTTAATTTTTTGTATTTTTTCTTTTCATCTTAGCATGTATTTTAGGTTAGAATTAGTATTAAACAAAAAAGTTATGATTGGAGAGTTAAAAAATTCATATGCGCCAAAGAATAAGCTTCTCCACCATTTATTTTCTTCTTTTTTTTCTTCCAAGTTTTGGTGGTGAATAGTGAAAAGAAAGAAAATTAGATGCTTGAATAGAGTTTTAGAAAGAAAAAAAACAATAAATTAAGAAATACGGTAGGTTTAAGCACTCCAAATTGTGGTAAGGTTACTCCACATTTTGTACTCATGCTAGAAAAGTATTACAAGCATAAGAGTGTTGTTAGAGACTTAGAGCTAAGGAGGAGATAATTGTGAGAGAAAAGAATGAGTGTAATATAATGTAAAGATAGAAAGGGTATATGTGAATCTAAAAAAAAAAGAAAAAAGAAAGAAGGGGTATTTAGGAATTAAGTTCATCATTAAACTTTTGGCAAGTAAAATGGGTAGAGTCACGTGTGTTTTTGTGATTTGATCCATCCATAGAATTTTTTTTTTTTGGTAGACATCCATAGAAATTTATTAAGGTTAAATGATTGAAACTTTTTTATTTTTATTTTCTAGGATCTCTCCACTAATTTACTGATTAATCGACTATTTCGATTCAAACTGCGTGCTTGGTGTTAAATTTTTTTCACTTGACATTTAGGAGATAGACCCTCCAAAAATGTAAGCAAAAAAAATAATAATAATAATAAGAAATGAGTGATATAAATAGCCCAATCAAATTCTTAAAATTCAAGATGTTGAGGTGAATGAAATATCAATATATTGAAAACGTATTTATTTTAGTAAAAAAAATACTCCCCGTTAAACCCGACTAACAAGTGTGAGATGAAGGAAATCTTTGTACGCAGCCTTACCCTCGCATAATTCTAAAGAGTAAGTTTCTTGCATAATTGCATAATATTTTTTATAATATTAATATATTTAAAAAAATTAAATTTTATTTACATAAATAAATATTTGATTAATAAAAAAATTCAAATATATATTATAAACTGATATGTTAGTTTTTTTTATAAATAAATTCGATTTTATTATTAAATATATTGATAAATAAGTATTTATTATTTTTATTACGAAATTTTATTTTTATATATTATCATATTATGTTTATTTAAATAATTTTCAATTATATGTTTTTATTACAATTTAATTAGAAATAGAATTTGTGGAAGTTATTTGATCAAATCAATTATTTGTAACTTGAATTTCAAAGTTATTTTTAAATTAAAATTTTCACTTAATCACCAATTCACTTTTAGTTGTACTTTTTTAAATCTTATTTTATAATTTTTGCTTAAAATTTTTTTTGTTAAAAAAACTGACTCGAGTGGACACTAAGCTAAATAATGTCATAATTAACTATATTATAATTAAGTTTATTAATAGAAAAAGTTACCTAATTATAATTTTAAAACAACTATCCATTTATTCTAAATAAAAATTAATTTTAATTTTTTATTACAAATAAATATAATTTTTCAAACACAATTTAATTAAATTAATTAATTAATTTTAATTTTTTTACCTGGCCTAATTATATTACTAAGTAAAACAAAATGTGAGACTTGTTGAATTGTCCGTAGCCTGCACAATGCTCCGAACTATACTAGGTCTGATTTTATTTTTATTTTTTTTGAAAACATACTTGGTCTGATTTAATTACATTGGATTGGTTTCAATGGGTTAATTACGCCCTCCAAAATTGACACTTTGACTTGTGTTAAAAAGGTCAAAAAATTATATTCAATCTTTTCTTTCTCCTTATTTTTAGTTTTCAAATTAAATACAAATTTTTTATTACAAAAAATAAAAGGCAAAATCAGTAATCCAGGTATATAATATTTCATGCGTTAAGAGTTATTTTGTGGTTGGTAGCTGTGTTATTAAGTCCGACTGGATGTTAATCCCGCGAAGATACTGAATTATTGGATCATTAATCAGACCGGTGGATAACTGATCGGATCATTGGATCCGAATTAATGTTATAAGAATCGGACCGACTCGGTTGGGTTGACTCGGAAACCGGTGAACCGATCATGTAACCGGTCCGGTTTTCATATTGGACCAGCCATGTTACAGAACCGGTGCGACCCGACCGATTTTTGCAAAAACCGGTGACCCGGTCGGTTCAACTAGTGACCAAGCTCGGTTTGCAAAAAAAAAAAACTAATTTATTCTCATCAATTGATTTCTTCCTTTTTTTAACTCTCAAACACAAATAATTTGTTTTCTTTTGAAATATTTGAGCGATTTGTAGCTTATTAATTTACATAGATTATGTATATACAACACTAATATTATCTTGGTTGTGCAATATGTAAGAAATTTTGATTTGGTGTATAGTTAGATATGTCGTTTACTGAACCTGAAACATTAGTATAACAAATATTATATGTTTGATTACTTTTTTGTTGGACAATGATATGTAATTTATTATTTTTCGGAAGAGGTTATAGTTACTACATCTTTTTCTTACTACCTCTTATTACCGAATCTTAACCATTGATTTTCGTTAATCTAACGGTATAACTTATTAAGTCATACTTATTAATTAATTATTAATTTTCAATAAATTATAACCGTTGAATTGACAGAAATCAACGGTTAAAATTTGATAATAAGAGGTATGAAGAAAAATAGGTAGCAAGTATAATCTTTTCCTTATTTTCATATTAAAATATTTAAAATTGATATATTTTTTTACAGGTATTTAAGTATATTTATAATTTTTTTAATATAAATTATAAATTTATATATATTTACCGACCGAGTCATGCGGTTGAACCAGTGACCCACTGATTGAACCAGTGACTCAGTAACCCAGTACCTCGACCGGTTCGATAACCGGGCCGGGTTTAATAACATTGCCCGAATATATATAAATATATATAAATATGAACATACGAAATTAAATTATATTTTTCATATCTAAAATGAGTTAAACAAAGTTTACTAAATAAGCTAAAAAATTACTCAATCACACTTTTAGAAGCTTATGAAGCACAAATAAATGAAAATGCACTCTGTTACTATGTCAATTTAAATTGCAACTCAGAATCTCTGGTAGCATATCTCTTAATGACATTGAGCTCATATTTTTCAAATTCATCTATATTGAAATGACATGTCACATTTTTTTAATTTGATGTTCCGCAAATTGTTTCAGTACTGGAAGCTGAAATTTGAAGTAATTGTAAAAGAGTATATCATTAGCAAATAAAATTATAAATTTTTTATATTACCAAAAAAAATTACAAATTTTTTAAAATGAATTATACATTTTTTTTTTGATAAGGTGGAACAATTTTCATTTTATTTATTTATAAAAATACACGACCTGACTGAGTCACTGAGTTTGATCGATTTTTTTGCCGGGTCCAATACATGGTCAGTCCAATATTTAACTTGAGCTGATCCGATAATCAATTCGCCATAGCTGGGTCGGGCGGGTTGGTTTGCAAAAATATAAAAAAGAGAAGACGAAGAAGGAAAAGAGAATGGGAGAGAGAAGAATCTGGTTGGAAGAAAGTAACTTTCTTTTTTTCTGTCTCTTCCACATTTGGTCTTTTATAACAATCGATTTGAAATCAATAAATGCTAATAATCAATATTAATATCAATCGCAACTAAATTAATATCAATATAAATATATAATTATTTTTTGATTCTCATTGATATCAATAATAATTACTTGATATCGATTTAATAATTAAAATGCTAAAAAAGGTAAAGTTAACTAATTAGGATTAATTGATAACAATATAATCCTTTATTGATAAAGGTATAAAGTTAAGGATAATTGTGTGTCTTTTTAAAGGATATAAGCTGCGTTCTTTTAATTTTTTAAGCTATGTATTACAAATGGGTAGTACATAAATAGTGATAATATAAAAAATCGTTTTCTTTTTTCTCTTTTCACATTAACAGAAATGCCTGTGAGGAGAGAAAAATAATAATAATTTTTTCATATTATATCATGGGGAAGGATATACATATCACCAAAAAAGTTTACAACCTTTACAACCAACTTAATCACCGTTGATTTCCGTCAATCTAACGGTTAAAATTTATTGAAAATTATTGGATGACATTTATTAATTAATTATTAATTCTCAATAAATTAGATTGACGAAAATTAAAGATGATTAAGTTGGTTGTAATTGTGGTAAACTTTTTTGGTGATAAGTATATGCTGCCCCTTATATCATATATTATCCATAATACATAGTGTTAAAAATTAAAAGGATACTTGGTTCCTAAAACTAAATACTAATTTGATATTAGAGTGGATGGATTTTGAGAAACTAGTAGTTGAAAGTGGACAAAGAGCCTTTTTTTTTTGGATAGTTCCACTGATTTTCGGGGCTTCGACCCGACTATGTCCAGTCTGACCCGAGTAAGTTACTTAGCATTGACAGATAAGTCTCCAGCGAGAATTTTCTGCATACACAAGGTCTCGAACGAGTCCTTAAAAAGGCTAAGCTTTTGTATTGATGCTCGTGGACGAATTTCTCGTAGCAGTTGAAGCATAGTCCATTGTCACGTCTCAAAATGTTAGGGTATGTTCATTGTGGTATCTTCATATTCTGATGGTTTAAATCGACATCGAAGTGCATGTACGAAAGTGTCCCAATTGGTGATGAGACCCTTGTCCACAAGGCCTTGGTACCACCTTGCCGCTGGTGCATCAAGATCAAGGTACGAGAAGCGTGGAAATGTGAGGTGATAATTGAGGACCATCGCCCATAAAGGCATTGCACTTGATTGTGGGGGCAAGGGTTTTCCTTGAGGCTTTCGTCCCTTTTGTCTAGTAGTTCCCATATGAGGATCTCCACTGTCAATTGCTGGTTCTTGATGGCGGACACTTGATTAATTTCAGAATCGGTGGCACAAATTTGTGATGGCTTCCTCTTATTCCTGCGATGAAAGCACTATTTTAACTGTTAACTAGGGTGACTCTATAGTTGGTTGGTAGAATGACAAAGAGAGAAGATAAAGAAGAAAGAATAAAAGACTACAAGAAAAAAAAATAGTAAAAAAAAAATCAAATGTGTTATTTGTCTAAATAAAAAAAATAAAATAAGAAAAAAAAAAGATCAAATATATTAAAAATCACAAAAGTGATAGAAAATATTAAAATTAAAAAAAATAAAAAGAAAAAAATTATACTTACTACTATTTTGGGCTTATTATTCTTACTACCTAGTGTAAAGAACTAATTCAACCCAAAAGCTTAAGCTATATTGGGTGAGACTCCATTAGAAAGAAATTCCACTAGAAAGAAAGTGGGGGCAGTGAGGATCGAACCTGGTACACTGCTGCTCTGATACCATGTAAAGAATCTAGGGGTGTCAATATAGGTTTTGACACGCGGGTCGACCCGCGACACGACACGAAAATTCGTGTTCGGGTTGACCCGTAAAAAATTCGTGTCGTGTTCGTGTTGGAAAAAAATGACACGCAAAAAATTCGTGTCGTGTTCGTGTTTATGAATTCGTGTTCGTATCGACCCGTATTTTTTTTTAATTATTTTATTTTTATTTTTTTATTATTTTTTAAATTTTTATTAGTTTCGATATATTTTTTTTAAATTTTTTATCAATTACCGTTTTGACCCCTATTTTGCGTGTTATTCGTGTCGTGTCGTGTCAACCCGCAAAAAATTCGTGTCGTGTTCGTGTTATTGTATTCGTGTCGTATCAAATTCGTGTCGTGTCAACCCGTTTTGACACTCCTAAAAGAATTATTTCAACCCAAAAGCTTAAACTATTGGGTGAGACTCCATTAATGGTTTTATGTATCTCAACACCTAGTTGGTTACCATTGAATCAATTTGAAATCAACGCTTAAAAATTGGAAAGAAAAAAATAGATGTCGTTGATTTCAAATTGATCAAATGATAACCGATAAGGTAGTAAGAGTATTAAGATTAAAATGGTAGTATATATATATATATATATATATATATATATAACTTTTTCCTATATGTATATAGGGTCCATCAAAAATTCAGTCATTGTATATAGCTATAATATTAAAGTTATTTTTTTTCTCTCTCTCCACATTAGTCAACAAGTTTCTAAAGAGAGAAAAAAAAACTTTAATATTATAAATATGTATTTCTCGAAATACATAATTATAAGGAATTGACGGGATAAAACCTTATATCCAGTCCAATGACAAACAATTATAAAAATATATTGCAAAGCCATCTAAATTGCCTGTACATTTTATTACCAAAAAAATTGCCCACGCATTTTCTATTTCCTATGAATGTATATTTGTGTAGAGAATCATTGAGAGATATTGTAGGAGAGAAAGCAATGGACAATTTCTTGGGCGGAAAATGGACATTGTTGGTATGGCAACGTTGGGTGTGGCATCAAGTCCATTAAGCCTGAAAGGCATCTTTTACCTTTGTGCGGTTGTTTGTCTCACAGGTCACTCGGTTGGTTGTTGAACAAAGTTTCAATTCAGTACTTGTCTTTATGATGCCAAAATATAGGTAAGTCAACCCACTTACAATAAGTGCTGTTCATATTATAAGTTGCTGGTTGTTGGTTAGGCAAAAAGTTAAGGAATTGCCATTAGTCTAGGCCTAGAAAGGCACTTTCACACAAGCACCCTTGCCTCTCATCTTCACAATTTTGTACCTAGGATGGTGGCCATTTACACTCCCAACAAGACAACATAGAAGATTGAACTCATCGCCTTCCGCCCATAATGGCAAAACCAACATCCCGATGATAGTTTCTTAACATATATAATAGAGAAAAACTAATATTATGTAACATGATATAAAATTTTTTACCCACTCACACATTGGTTTCCGCACTAGCATTTTTTATTATATGTATGAGACCCACATGCATCTTTGTTTGAGTAGGAAAAATTAGTTAGGTTATGTTACATGATAGTAACTTTACCCTATATAATATGCTATGCATATAAATCTTATATTAATTCAATTTAATATGTCTCCTTAATCTCTTTTTTTTTTTTTAAGTTTGATAAAACCCCACATTTTCTCTACTTGGGCTATCATTTTATTTCATTTTCTTTATAATACGATATATTTTTTTTTTTTGATAACATATAATACGATATTTAAGAGGATGGGAATTAATTATATTCAACGTCAAAGCATGTTACAACTTACAAGCTTCAACGAAAACTTCTGATAGTGTTTACAAGATGCGATATGGAAATAGGACTTTCCTCGAGAAAAAATCGACGATGGGTTTAGGTTAACATTATACCCTCCAGGCCCAAACGTATTTGCATGGGCTACGAGCCAGTCAACATCCCGTTTAGTGGTGTGCCAAAAGATGAGCGAGCAAGGGCAAAGTCCCCATTTATTACTTGATTAAAGATTGAAGAATATGTAAGATTAAATTACATTTTAATCATTGAAGAATTTAAATATTATAAATAAGCCTAAAGGAAGGCAAGTTGCAAGAATTATTTAATTCTTAAATACCAATGGATGCCTCTTTGGTATAGGCGTAAGGAATTTGAGGATTTAAATATTGAGAATTGGATTTTGGGGCCCATTTAAAGAGTTGCTCATGAGTAGTAACATTTCAAAACATCATAAATATATCATAGAATCTGTAATATTTAAATAATAATTATCAATGAAATACATATTTTTCCGCAGATCAAAATGTAATTTAATTCCCAAATATCATAATGTAAAAGTTCTTAAATAACGGAGAATTTTCTTTTAGTGAGGGAAAAGCTTTCTAGTTTAGTGCATATTTCACACTTCTCATTGATGCAGATTTCACTCGTGAGCGAATAATATCTTACATTAAATGAAATACAATACGAGAAGAGATTAAATAAATAAAGGATTCTAATGTGTTAAAATTTTGGATTAAAACGCAATAATAAATAAATTTTTGCGATTCCTTATCTAACTCAGTGTAAGAGGCTAGATTTTCGCTTAAATAAATTAGGTCTGTGTGAAAAAATATTAGGTCTGGCTTGGCATATTAGCCTGTATAGGCCTCAAATTACAAGTCTGGCCTGACCTATATTTAAAAAAAAAAAATTAGCCTAGGCTTGTTAGTTTGTTTAAGCCTATTAAATATTCAATAACTAAAAAATAACTAAAATAATATTACTTTATTATTTAAAATTATTAAAATAATAATTTTATTTATTTTATTTAAAATAAATAACATATATAGGCCGGTCTATAGGCTTATAAGCTCAACACGTACAAAAAAGCCTATAACCTGTTTTTTAAATAGATGTTTTTAAAAGTCTAAACCTGTTCTATTTTACTATTTGTAATAAGTCAAATATGATCTAATAAAGACTAGATCGTAAGCCCTTGTAGATGAGCCTAACCCATTTAATAAAAACTTCCATAATTCTGTGTTTGGTTGGTTGGTTGGCTTTGCATACCTTGTTGCAATGTAAGTTTATATGGCTTATACACGTTTTAACACTGGATCAGCACAAAGTGATTCTTATTATTATTTTACAAGGGTTCTGAAGAGCATATAATCAAGGGAAGACAGATGATAAATGTGAGTGGAATTTGATCAAATCAATAACTCAATAGTCAATATTATTATCTTATCCGGTTATATTTATTATTATTTTAATTTTGTTATATTTATTATCTGATTGATTATTGTTAGATTAATTTAAAATTAACTGTTAAAAAATAAAAAAAAATTAATTATCATTAATTTTAAATTAATCTAACAATAACCAATCAAATAATAAGAATAATAAGCTTAAAATTTGTAATAAATATAACATTTCATTATCTTTATCGTACAAAATAGAAAATAAAACTATTTTTAGATTTCATTTTTCCTAAGTCGGGTCGTGTCATTACGAAGAAATTCTTGTCCAGACGAGAAAAAAAGGTCGGAAGTAGAAGCTGTTTTTTGTCAACATTGAAAACGGTTGAAGTGTGATGGAGTCAATGATGACTGTGACTGTGACTGTGAGTCTGAACTTGTCGTGTGGGCAATGTTACATTACAGCCCCAAAAAACGGGGTAATTGCCGCTAACATACCTTCTCTGATGACAGATGCTCTGTGATTACCATTAAGCCAACCCCCAACACACTTCACTCTCCAAAGTACATACTATCTTTAAATCCACGCTGAAACGTGCTAAACTTAACTACCTAATTAACTCGCTAGAAAAAGAAACAAGGTTCATTTTTTTTTCTCTTCCGAAATTAAAACTTTGGTATAAGAGTAACAAGTTTCAATTTTTGTTTCTGCTTCTCTTCTCCAGCACCCATTTGCGTATTCATCATACCCAGATTCTTGTTTTGTGTTCCTCTTAATAGGTTTCACAAGCTTTTCTACTCTACCCAATGGAACCCAGATTCAGATTATCACTTTTCATCTTGTTGCTGGCCTCTATATCCTTCACTGCAGAATCAGGATGTAGCAAGGGTTGTGATTTAGCTTTAGCTTCATACTATCTTTGGGATGGTTCTAACCTCACATATATTTCAAAGATTATGTATTCCCAGGTTCTTTCTAAACCTGAAGATATTGTCCCCTATAACAAAGACATAAAAAGCAAAGACTCTGTCCAATCCTTTACCAGAGTGAACGTTCCATTCCCTTGTGATTGCATCAATGGTGAGTTTCTGGGTCACACATTTCTGTACACGTTTCAGCCAGATGATACTTACACATCAGTTGCAAGCAAGCGTTTTTCTGATTTGACCACCGATGAGTGCATGCAAAGGTCAAACATTTATCCACCAGACAATATTCCTGATTTTGAATTGCTTAATGTCACTGTTAACTGTTCCTGTGGGAACAGCGAGGTTTCCATGGATTATGGATTGTTCATCACATACCCACTTAGACCTGAGGACACTTTGCATTCAATTGCAAACCAGACCAACCTTGAGCCCGAGTTGCTGCAGAAGTACAACCCGGGTGTAAATTTTAACCAAGGGAAGGGTCTGGTTTATATTCCAGGGAAAGGTACATTCTTATTTTGCTGCCATGCTTTGGTTTTCTGATATGAACGAACTCATGAGGTTTTTTTAACATACTATGAGATTGGTATTTTGGGCTCTTCTAAAATAAGTGGTGCATTTTATAAAGAAAAAGTATGGAATTATAACTATTGATTAAAAAAAAAAATTAACAGATGAGATTGTAATAAAATACATGTAGGCATATATTACAAATCCATTCTTTACCTAGTTGGGAAGGCTGTCGCTGCTATTTTTTCCTTACTTTTTCAGTGATGCTCAAATAAAATAATAGTCATGTCACTTCCACATCAACTATAGTTTTGGCATTAGTGATGATGATTTCTTTTTTAGCTGTTGAAAAGCATGTAATACATATACGAAGAAATGGTGATGATTTCTGATTATCTGATTAGTGTTACCTTCAAATTGTTTACATGGTAAGAAATGCATTGAAGAGTATGCTTAATTTATGATCATCATGCTTATAGCTGTATGTCTGTATCTTTCAATTTGTTTCTGGTGAACTGTAAACTTTGAAGTATGTGCCTCACATTTTCATGTTCCTTCACTTTCCAGACCAAAATGGTAGCTATGTGCCCCTTCGCCTAAGGTGATTTTTTTTTCAAACCTTACTGTCCATGGTATTTGCACATGAAGTTGAATAATTTTTCATTCTTTAATAACCTGCTAATCTTAATGACTGTGTTTTCATTTTCCTTTTCAGCACTGGAGGTTTGACTTTCTCACTCCTCAGAAAGTTGATTTATTGATGAATGTTTAATACTTGATTTTGATATGATATCAGACACAAGGTAAATATATCCTAAAAGGAGAATGTTAACCTACTTTCAGCTCATATATTGTTTCTGCATAAGCAGGTCTAGCGCGTGGGTTCATCGCTGGAATATCTGTTGGAGTAGCAGTAGCAGGACTTCTGCTATTGGCATTTTGTGTGTATTTTACATATTACCGAAGAAAGAAGGTATTGAAGAAAAAGTTGCTCTCTGTAGAAAAGAGCGTGAAGTCTGTTCGAGTTAAGAATGGTAAATAGATTTCTACTTATATTTCATATAACCTGTTCTTCCCTCCTTCCCTCTACCTTTCCCCTTTAAATGTGGGCAAATAGTAAAGTGTTTGAAGACTTAGTAGCATATAGAATCATACTCAAATTATGTTATAACTTGTCAGTATAGTTTGATAACAGGGGAGAGTAAATTTTATTTATCATCCCTTTTTCAGATAAAGCCTCTGGTAATGCTAAAGACGAAGCTGCAGATTCTGGTGGTCCTGCTGCTGCAGGTGGTACTAACACCATAGGCATTAGGGTGGACAAATCGGCTGAGTTTTCATACAAAGAACTAGCCAATGCCACAAATAACTTCAGCATGGCTAACAAAATTGGTCAAGGTGGTTTTGGGGTAGTCTACTATGCTGAGCTGAATGGCGAGGTTTGTAATCTGTGTGTTGTTAGTTTTGATTTTTTACTCTATGTATTTGAAAGAAAAGTTGCATAATTTTTTAGTTAATGAAGAGCTTACAATTATTGAAGCATATATTCTGTAGCTGTTTAACTGATTCTTTGAGAGTAAGTGAAATGTTAAAATTCAAATATAATACTTTCATTTTGTTGGAACATTCTACCAAATGTAGAACAGGTGTTATAGAGTAGAGTTGGAGACTTGGAGTAAAGTAAACCTAATCAGACAATGTTTTCAAATTTAAAACGATGAGAATCTTGACAATGTATAATTAGTCAATGGCATATACCATGATAACTAAATTTGTCTTACAATTTCAATATTAAAATTAAGGATTTGCTCTATAATATGCATGATGGAGATGTCAGATAAATTAATGAAATGCTTTTTTTTTTTAAATTTCTGAATGTGTTACTGTGTCCTCCGATCTCAATTTGTTTGAGATAAAAGTGATGTTGATTTATGAATGTCAATGTGTTAACCAATACTTTCAAGAATCATGGGAAAGACAAGTCACTTTGGAACTTGTAAAGAACCTTGGGATACACCACCCCAAAAGCTAGCTCAAAGTGTGGGAGTGCCCAAGGCCTTATAAAGGCCACAGTAGTTGCCCACACAATCAATGTGGGACTATATATCTCAACACGCCCCCTCACGCAAGAGCCCTTTGGGCGAGAAGCGTGGAATTGCACAGGCCCAATTTTTGGTTTACCTTTTTGTGCTTTTTATTTTAATTCCACTTGAAAGTGGGAGGCGGTGAAGATCGAACTTGTGACCTTGTAGTCACTCAAGCTCTGATACCATATAAAGAACCTTGGGATACACACCCCAAAAGCTAGCTCAAGGGGTGGGAGTGCCCAAGGCCTTATAAAGGCCACATTAGTTGCCCACACAATCAATGTGACTATATATCTCAACAGAACTCAATTCAGAAATGAACTAGTGAAAAAGGGTTAAGAGACACTTCCAATGTGTTTTAAGAGCCACATTGGATGAGAGGAGATGAAATGATGAATCGGAGATTTATTAAGGTTTGATCAAATATTCACCTGCACTCATTTCGTGCAAACAAAACATATGTAATTATTTGTTATATCTGTGCCTTTTTGACCCCAAACAACAGATGAATAATTTTTTTTTTATATTGAATAGATAGTTTAAGCAGCACAGATGTTACATATTGTTGAATATCATAGATACAAGAGGAAATGATAGTAATCCTTGTTGTATAAAACTACACAACATTGATGCTATTATATAGCAAACCAATTGAAGAATACAAAGAGACACACTCAATGTGGGACTTCTACACTATTAACACTAACACTCTTAACACTCCCCCTCAAGCTGTAGCATATAGATCATATGCTACAAGCTTGATACATAAATAATACTCCCATTAGGAACCAAAAACAACAATGCTACATCAACGAAATGAAATGACTAAGTACAACAAATCAACTGGAATGACCATCAGTGTGAAGAGCTGATAAAGAGACAGTGCTGGAATGGACATCAGAGCATGGATGGTGCCGGAATTATCATCGGCAAAGACAACTGAGCTAACCAGGACATCAGCATCAAGATCCCTCTCAGACATTTCATTTAACAGTTGGTGAGCAGTCGTGGTTTCCCCTTGACTATGCTACAAGCTTATTACAAGAAAGACCAAGTAACATAACATCAAAATAAATCTCCTAAATGAGAAACCAAAAATCAACAATGTGCTAAAAATGGCGTCAAAATGAACATCAACATGGAAGATGTCGGAATGATCATCGGCAAAGACAATTGTGCTGGAATGACCATCAGCAACATGGACGGTGCTCCCCCTCAAGAGGAACTTCTAAACAGTGCCGAAATTATCATCGGCAAAGACAATTGTGCTGGAATGACCATCAGCAACATGGACAGTGCTCCCCCTCAAGAGGAACTTCTAAACTACCGGAATTATCATCGGCAAAGACAATTGTGCTGGAATGACCATCAGCAACATGGACAGTGCTCCCCCTCAAGAGGAACTTCTAAACAGTGCCGGAATTATCATCGGCAAAGACAATTTGTGCTGGAATGACCATCAGCAACATGGACAGTGCTCTCCCTCAAGAGGAACTTCTAAACAGTGCCAGAATTATCATCAGCAAAGACAATTGTGCTGGAATGACCATCAGCAACATGGACAGTGCTCCCCCTCAAGAGGAACTTCTAAACAGTGCCGGAATTATCATCGACAAAGACAATTTGTGCTGGAATGACCATCAGCAACATGGACAGTGCTCCCCCTCAAGAGGAACTTCTAAACAGTGCCGGAATTATCATCGGCAAAGACAATTGTGCTGGAATGACCATCAGCAACATGGACAGTGCTCCCCCTCAAGAGGAACTTCAGTGTCGGAATTAACATCAGCGCAGACAACATCAGCAACTTGGACAGTGCTCCCCCTCAAGATGGATGATGAATCGTATAAATACTCCATCTTGGGAAGAAAGAAGATTAAAGAAAAACAAAGCTTCGCGGAATCGGAAAAGTCGCCGGAGACGGCGGTGGGTCGTTGGAAAAGTCTTCGGAGATGGTGGTGGATCGCCGGAAAGTCACCAGAAAAGTCACCGGAAAAGTCGTCGGAGACGGCTGTCAACGGTGGACGACGCGGTCAACGGTGGTCGGTCAACGACAACGGTGGTCAACCCAACAACTTCCCAAGGATCATTCTTTTCTGATGTGACAGATCAGTCTAAGCTGCAGTCACAGAGCGTACAAAGAAAAACCCGAAAAAGAAATAGCAACGGGAATCCCTCAAGGAGGGTGATATCTCTCTATAACCATATTGAAATTATGGAAAATAGAACTAAGTTAAACGGATTAAGATTCCTCTTGTTAGGCTCTAGATACCATGTTGAATATCATAGATACAAGAGGAAATGATAGTAATCCTTGTTGTATTAAACTACACAACATTGATGCTATTATATAGCAAACCAATTGAAGAATACAAAGAGACATACTCAATGTGGGACTTCTACACTATTAACACTAACACTCTTAACACATATGATGATGCTGTTAGGATAAATCTGCAATTGTTCCTATTTGTAGCTTTCCCATGTTGCCCCTTTTATTATTTATATCTCTTATAATGAAGTCCTCTCTAATCACACAGAAAGCTGCAATAAAAAAGATGGACATGAAAGCATCGAAAGAATTTCTTGCTGAACTGAAAGTGTTGACACATGTTCATCACTTGAACCTGGTAATATTTGAAACTTAATGCATTCTTTGCTTTTAGTTTTATGTTCTTATAAAATAAAAAGGATTGTTGCTTTAAAACCTGAATTGAACAGACAGTATGTTTTCTTTTTCCTGTATTTTTTTTTTTGTTCGATTTTCCTCTACTTATATAAGATATTAGATGAACATTTATTCCGAGAAGATAATGATGGTTTTGATGAAGGGGTTTAACGTTATCCTGGGAATAGCATGGATATACACCGGAAAGAGCTAGAGCCTGCTATACCTAAAAGGAAAAATTCAGGAAAATGAACAAAAGAAAGAAAATGTCCTCATATTTGGCTGAAACTGATGTATCAATATATTTGGTATGTGAAATCTAAAAGAAAAATTGTTTGTTTTGGAAAGATGTTGTGACTTGTGACTCAAACTAGTGTTATAAGATTTTCCTTTGTTTATGTTAGTTCGAAACTAGTATCTTTTAAGTTATCTGCTTTTATATTTTGTGGAAGGTATTTGATATTCACTGCTTCTGTCAGTGTTAATTGTGTAGCTACACATAAAGAATTTGATCCACGGTTCTCATATTTCATAGATTGTTTTATCTTTGTTCAAATGATCTTCTTTCTTCATATGCTTTATCTATCTATTGATAACCATGTAGGTACGCTTGATTGGATATTGCATTGAGGGTTCCCTTTTCCTTGTCTATGAATGCATTGAAAATGGAAACTTAAGCCAACATCTACATAATTCAGGTGATAAAAGGACATAGCAAATATCTATGTTCAGTGCCTGTGCATTAATGTGATTGTAATGAGTAATGGCTTAGTTAATTAAGTCAAACTGTTTCCAGATGTAGGACCTTTGCCATGGTCTACACGAGTTCAAATTGCTCTGGATTCAGCCAGAGGTCTTGAATACATTCACGAACATACAGTGCCTGTATATATCCATCGTGACATAAAGTCAGAAAATATTTTATTAGACAGAAACTTCCGTGGAAAGGTATGATCTATTTAATAACTTTTGAGAGCTTGTTACTATTTTTATACTGGGATAACTTTGAGAGATCCTATATTATTTTATTTGCAGGTTGCAGATTTTGGATTAACCAAGCTCATTGATGTTGGAACTTCATCATTTCCCACTGTTAACATGGCTGGCACATTTGGTTACATGCCACCAGAGTATGATAAATTATGTGTCTCTCTTTAGGTTATAGCCAGCTTAATAGGAGATAGGATTTGAAGTTTATAAGGATCATAGAATCTTGTTTGAGGCCAAATATGATAATATAAGTTTGTAGCTGACACATATTCATTTGTCTTTTTAGACACAAAAGGGAAAATCAGTTAACTTTTCAAGAGCATGAATTTAATGATATCATTCTCTTATCTGCAGATATGTGTATGGCAGTGTTTCTCCCAAAATAGATGTATATGCTTTTGGAGTTGTTCTTTATGAATTAATTTCTGCTAAAAAAGCTGTGATCAAGGATGGTGTGTCTGGTGCTGAATTGAAGGGCCTTGTAGCTTTGGTGATTCTTGACGCCCTACTGTTTATTATTTTCAAATGGAAGCCTGGTGATTTTACATGAACAATTAAGAACTACATGTATCCTTTCTAGTTTTTAATTTATTTTTTTGGTGATGTGTATGGCAGTTTGATGAAGTTTTTGATGAGCCAGATCCTACAGAAGGTCTTAAAAAACTGGTAGATCCTAGGCTTGGAGATAATTGCTCAATTGATTCAGTTCGCAAGGTATCAGTTATCACAAAGCATTTAAACTTTTTTTTTTGGTGTTTCTGATTTCAACAGTTTTGGCCTTTTTTATTTTTCCCACTTGCAGATGGCACAACTTGCCAAAGCGTGTACCGAGAGAGAGCCACAACAACGTCCAAATATGAGCTCTGTTGTGGTTGCTCTTACAACACTTACTTCAGCTACTGAGGATTGGGATTTTGCTTCCATCTACAAAAATCCTGCTCTTGTAAATCTAATGTCTGGAAGATAGGAGTAGAATGTAGGATACAAATATCACCGTTTTTTTTTTTTTTTTGTTGGTAAGCTCAAATGTCTGAAAGGTTGAAAGGTTATGGGTCATATATTTGAATTCAGGAAACTGCATCTTTGTAATTATGTAAGGGTAAGACTGTGTACAAGTATTATCTCCACTTCACACTCATTAGTCGAATTTAACGAGAAGTGATTTTTGTTTTTAAGCTGAAATGTCACCATTTAATTCCTCAGTTGCACAACAAATTTTGGAAAACAGCACTGCAAGTAAATTAGTTTTAAGATAACTTGCCAAACAGGTTCATTTTATATTTACAAAATTTCTTTACCTAATTCCCTACAAGTCACTCTAAATATAATTATACTTTAACTTATTTTAAATAGTTCATGTGATGTGAGTCTACCTTGGCACTCTAGATATATTAAGTCATTTTTCTTTTTCTTTTTATTAAGTCATTTTTCATATATTAATTAAGGCTTTAATAGCTCTCCTGTTGCTGCAGATCAAAATATTTGCAGCAACACTTACTTTCACCAGGATCCAGTTCCGTATATTATGTAAATATATTTGCTGCAAGTTTTTCCATCAGCAGTCACCCATTAATTAAAGTCAACAAATGTTCATGACAAAATAATATTTGAGTAAATATCCTTTTTGGTCCTCAGCAAATTTCACGACGCCCATTTTAGTCCCTAGCAAATAAAAAGGCCCATCGTGGTCCCCAAGAAATTCAAAATGGACCCATTTAGTTGAAATCGTGGTCCCTCACAAATTCAAAAAAGATTCATATTAGTCCCTAAAAGGACTAAAATAGATACATTTTGAATTTATTAGGAACCACGATGGACCTTTTTATTTGCTAGGGACTAAAGTGGATATCGTGAAATTTGCTGAGGACAAAAAAAAGTATTTACTTATAATATTTGGATAATTAATTCCCAATAGTCTCATCCTGGCAAGTGGGGTTGCCTACGATGTTCATGACAAAATAGTATTTGGATAATTAATTCCCAATAGCCTCATCCTCGCAAGTGGGGTTTCCTAGGAAGAGTGGTTATATTTTATTTTATTTATAATGCTAATATTCAAAAGACTATATTAGTTTAGAGGTAAGATCCTTTGTCAAATTTAAAATTTGACACCTCATCTAAGAGTCATTGGATCAAAAAAGATTAATAGTGTCACATGCTTACAAATCAGAGCCGTTGATATTTTTTGATCCAATGACTCTTAGATAAGGTGTCAAATTTGATTTGACACTGGTATCAAAGATCCTAACTCACATTCAGTCCTATACAAATTACCAAGTTCAGGATTTAGAGCTTTTTTTATATAAATTATTAATACTATTTTCTTGAATCTCAACACTTAATTAGATGAAAAAAATGGAAAACAAAACTAAAAACCAGATTTCCTCAATGAAAGAGGCCCAATGAACCTAAACTGTATCGTTGAGTTTAGGTTCATTGGGCCTGTCTCTTTAAATTCATTTAATCAGACAAGCCTTTGGCCAAAGCCATTAAGCCATAGCTTAACTCAAAATATCTTTATTACATTTTGTCTTTAAAGAAAATTACAAAACGCACCAGAAGGGGAAAGACCAAGGCTCGTGATGAATTCTGTTCGGTTCCCAAATTTCAAGATAACATTTTAAAAGTAAAAGTCAACACAGCAGCCTTGAGAATGTGCATGACAATGACAGAAGTACACAGCAGCCTTGGGAATTTACGTCCACACACAAAGTTTCTCTTCTCCCGTTAACATCAACCTAACAACATTACGCTTTCCATTTTAAAACTTCAAACCCAATCCCAAACATTCTTAAATTAACCAACCAGCTAACTATCTTTTTCTCCTCTAAAGTCAAAACCTTCGTATAACTGTATCAAACGGATGTGGATTCTATTATGTGAAAATTCATATAAACATGTCATATGGAAAATTATAATCATACAAAGGTGTATCAATGATAATAAAAGAGGAGAGATAAAAAATATTAAAATAAATAATTTCAAAATCATAACTGTTTATTTACCTTTGTATGGTTGTGATCTTCTGCGTCTATCATATCATATTTTTTTTTTTTCAGGATTCATTTCCGTATCAAACTTACGACTTGACTTTCTTTTTGTTACTACAGCCACCACCCATTCGCATATTCAACACACCAAGATTCTTGTTTTGTGTATGTGTGTATTTTATCTTTGACTTTTTTCATCTACCCAATGAAACCAAGATTCAGATTTTCACTTTTCTTCTTCTTGTTGGCCTCTATATCATTCAGTGCTGAATCAAAGTGTAGCAAGGGTTGTGATTTAGCTCTAGCTTCCTACTACCTATGGAGTGGTTCTAACCTCACATATGTTTCAAAGATTATGAAATCCAAGGTTCTTTCCAAGCCTGAAGATATTTTAAGTTATAACAAAGACAAGTTGACCAACAATGATTCCATCAGGGTTAACATTCCGTTCCCTTGTGATTGCATCAATGGTGAGTTTCTGGGTCACACATTTCTGTATACGTTTCAGCCAGAGGATACTTATACATCAGTTGCAAGCAAGAGTTTTTCTAATTTGACCACCGATGAGTGCATGCAAAGGTCAAACATTTATCCACCTTACAATATTCCTGATTTTGAATTGCTTAATGTCACTGTTAACTGTTCCTGTGGGAACAGCAAGGTTTCCATGGATTATGGGTTGTTCATCACATACCCACTTAGACCAGAGGACACTTTGCAGTCAATTACAAACCAGACGAACCTTGAGGCTGAGTTGTTGCAGAAGTACAACCCTGGTGTGGATTTCAGCCAAGGAAGTGGTCTGGTTTATATTCCAGGGAAAGGTACTTACTCTGAAGTTGGTTTTCCATGTTTGTGATTGTGAAAGGTTACTTAGTGTTGGATATTTTGATTTTAGATCTTGGGAATGAGCATATATAGGACTGAATTGCAGTGCCGTTGAACTAGTCAATCAATCTTAGCTTTTTGCTTGTAAAATTGAGGCTCCAAATTGCTGAGTTTAGCAAGACTCATATCTCCTTGATCTTTAACAAAGCTTAATTGATGAGCATCATGATTTCATGCCTGTAGATGCAACTTTCAAATTGTTTCTTCTCACTTTAAGTTTTGAATACTTGCCTCACAATTAATTTCCCTTTCACTGTCCAGACCAAAATGGTAACTATGTGCCCCTTCACCTTAGGTAAATATTCTTATCGTACTGTCCTTGTTCTTTCACATAAAGTTCCTTCATTATTCGTTCTTTGAAAAACGTTCATGTTTTCATTTTCCTTTGCAGCACCGGAGGTTTGATCTTCTCACTCCCTCAGAAAGTTGGTTATTTTGTATTCTTATGAGACCCAAGTTAAGGATATGCTGTAAAATACAATGTCAATGCTATTTTCAGCTCATGTATCTTTTCTACATAAGCAGGTTTAGCAGGTGGGACTATTGCTGGAATATCTGTCGGAGTAGTAGCAGCACTTTTATTATTGGCACTTTGTGTGTATATTTACTACCACAAGAAAAAGGCATGGGAGAAAAATTTGATCTTGGATGATTCCACAGTGAACTCTGCTCCAGTTATTCAAGGTACATAATTTTACTTATATTTCTTCTAAGCTGTTCCTTCCTACTTCCCTCTACCAAGGTCTTTCTGGTAATGATGAATATATGAAACTTCAGATTCTGGTGATCCTGCTGCCATTGGTGGTACTGGAGTCACAGGGATTAAGGTGGACAAATCACCAGAGTTTTCATATGAAGAACTAGCCAATGCCACAAATAACTTCAGTATAGCTAATAAAATTGGTCAAGGTGGTTATGGGGTAGTCTACTATGCAGAGCTGAGAGGCGAGGTTTGTAATCTCATGTATAGTTTCAGTTAAATGTATTAGAAAGAAAGTTTGCTTATTCTTTTAATTTACGAGGATTGTGAAGAACCACTTCAACCCAAAACTTAAGGTGTTGGGTGAGAGCCTTTTTAATGGTTCATATTATACTCCAACACGCCCCTCACACGAGAGCCCACTGGACTTGAAGGGTGGATAATACACAGGTCCACTTATATGTGCTAAGAAATTCCACAAGAGAAAGTGGGGGCGATGAGGATCGAACCTAGAACACGAGGCTCTGATACCATAAATATTAAGCTTTTAGGTTGAATTGGTTCTTTACATGGTATCAGAGCCTTGTGTCCCGAGTTCGATCCTCATCGTCCCCAACTTTCTTTTGTGGAATTTTCTTAGCGCAGGTAATTAGACCTGTGCATTGTCCACCCTTCTAGCCTAGTGGGCTCTCGTGTGAGGAAGCGTGTTAGAGAATAATATAAGCTATTAAAGAGACCCTCATCCAACAGCTTAAGCTTTTGGATTAAATTGATTCTTTACAAGGAGTTTTCAATTAATGATGCATCTATATTTGCTGTTTCACTGATTCTTTTACTTCTTAGCTAAGAGTGTCAATGAAATGTTTTAAAGGGCCGACCCAGTTCAAACACCCACTTCGTGAGTGTCAATGAAATGTTTAAATTGGAAAATTATATTTTCTCTGTGGAATATGGGGTTCTACCAAATATAGGAGTGGTGCTAAGAAGCAGATTGAAGTAAAACTAATCAAAGAATGTTTTCAGATTTAAAGGCTGAGAATCTTGGTAATGTGTAATTAATCAATAGAGCATTGTATAGAGAATAAATTTTTCTTGCATGTTGGTATTCGCAAAGAAATATTCATTGTGGAGATGTTAGATAAGTTCATATAATTTTGTTGATCTGAATGTCAGTGCGTTAGCCAATACTTTCTTGGTCATGGAAATGACAAGTTATTTTAACACTAAAGCTAGAATGAACTAGTGTCAACGAATTAAGAGCCGCTTCCAATGTGTTTTAAGGGCCAGACTAGATGAGAGGAGATGAAAAGGAGATTTGTGAAGGTTTAATCAACATCCACTTACAATATTTTGTGCGTACAAAACAAATGTAATTATTGTTGTGTATTCATTTGCCTTTAAATTAAAACTACAGACAAGTACAGTTTTTTCATTGAATAGATACTTCCGCACCACATATTATTATATACATGATAATGCATGTAGAATACATATGCAATTTTTTCTGCTATATAGCCTTTCCATGTGCCAATAATCATGTTTACATTCTTATATTAAATAAGCCCTCTCCAATCACACAGAAAGCTGCTATCAAGAAGATGAAGATGCAAGCATCGAAAGAATTTCTCGCTGAATTGAAAGTCTTGGCTCATGTTCATCACTTGAACTTGGTAATCTTTTAAACTTGAAGCATGCTTTGTTTTTTATTTAATGTGCCTATAAATAAATATGATTGTTGTTTTAAAACCGGAATTGAAAAGAATCTATATCATTGTTTTTTACTACTTAGATGTGATAGTATTTGAAGATTTGAGATTTTCCTTTGTTTATGTTCATTTACAGCGGGCATTTTTAAGTTATCTGCTTCTATATGTTGTGTGGAGAAATTTGTTCATTGTTGCCTCTTTCATTGCTCTTGTTATTTCAGTTATTTCTTGTGTTTCTGCTCACAAAAAATTAGATCTTGCTTGCTATGTTTCATGGATTGTTTTAAGTTGTTGTATACAGTATCTTCTAATTTCTTATGTTGTATACACCAATTGGTGACTATGTAGGTACGCTTGATTGGATATTGCGTCGAGGGTTCTCTCTTCCTTGTCTATGAATACATTGACAATGGAAACTTAAGCCAAAACCTACGTGGTTTAGGTGGGATAAACACAAGCCAAATATGAAATATCTATTTTTAGTGATGATGCATTGTAATGACTTAGTAGTTAATGATCAAGTCAAAATGTTGCCAGAAAGAGAACCTTTGCCATGGTCTACAAGGGTGCAAATAGCTCTGGATTCAGCAAGAGGTCTTGAATACATTCACGAGCACACTGTTCCTGTATATGTCCATCGTGACATAAAATCAGAAAATATTTTATTAGACAGAAGCTTCTGTGGCAAGGTAGGAATTGTATTTTTTGAAGCTTATTGCTATTTTTCTTATTGGGGTCATGATGAGAGATCCTATATCATTCCTTTTGCAGGTTGCAGATTTTGGATTATCCAAGCTGGCTGACGTTGAAAATTCAATCGTGGCGGGTACATTTGGTTACATGCCACCAGAGTGAGATGATTCTGTTTTGGCTCTTCAATTGCCAGCTAACTTTGCCATAGGAGATAAGATTTGAGGTTTTATGGGGAAGGAGCAGAAAACCTTGTTTGAGGCCAACCAATGACTATGATATAAATGTTCCTTGGTTCTAGCTCCTTGTTTATCTTTAAAAATACTTAAGGGAGAAGTTTTTAATGTTAACTTCACACATATAATTCATCTTTGTAGACATAAAATAGAAATTAGTTCACTTTTCAAAAGCTTAAGATTAGTGATTCCATTCTCTTGCCTCATCTGCAGATATGCGCGTCGCCATGTTTCTTCTCCCAAAGTAGATGTCTTTGCTTTTGGAGTTGTTCTTTATGAACTTATTTCTGCTAAAGAAGCTGTAATCAAGGATGGTGCTGAATCAAAGGGCCTTGTAGCTTTGGTGATTCTTGACGCCCGAGTGTTTATTATTTTCAAATGCCAGCCTAGTGATTCTGCATAAATAATTAAGAAACATAGTATATTTTCCTTTCTTGTTTTCTAATTTTTTTTGTTGATATGTGTGGCAGTTTGATGAAGTTCTTGGTCATCAGTCAGATGGTCTTAAAAGTCTGGTGGATCCTAGGCTTGGAGATAATTACTCGATTGATTCAGTTCAAAAGGTACCAGCTATTTAAAGCATTTAAAATTCTTGTGCTTCTGATTTCAACATTAATCAAACTTTGGCCAATTTTCAACTTTCAGGTGGCACAACTAGCCAAAGCATGTACAGAGAGAGATCCGCGACGACGTCCAAGTATGAGATATGTTGTGGTTGCTCTTATGACACTTAATTCTACAACTGAGGATTGGGATATTGCATCCCTCTACGAAAATCCAGCTCTTGTAAATCTAATGTCTGGAAAATAAGATTAGGAATATAGGATGCAAACGTAACCATGTAATTGTTTTGTGGAAAATATAATTTGGGAAAACAGTGCTGCATTTCCTGCAGTTATCTACACTGAATTCCATGGTCTGCAGTCTGATTTGCAAGCTGAGTAAAAAACGTGAAATATACAACAAACATTGATAATAAAAACCAAAAACCACTTCCCATTAAAGGCTGTTTTCCGGATTCGAATCCGTGATCTTTCAGTCACAAAAGAGCAGCTTTACCACTATTTCAAACTCACCCTTTTTAAACATTTATAATAGTAATAGGGGAAAGTACTTCTTATGTGACTGCAGAAGGGAAAATTTGCAGCAACATAGGATACGCGTCCGAATCCTGGATTTTTTTAGTTTTTTTTGTTTTGATAGGATCCGCACGTGTATCCTAGGATCCGCACGTGTATCCTAGTGTTAAAAATTTGCTGCAACTTTTCTCATCAGCAGCAACATGAGAACCGACGGACCCATAGTAATATAATAAAAACAAAAAAAAATTCAAAATTATAGTATTGTATAAAATGCAGCACTAAGATATGCTATAGAATCTGATTAAATTAAGAGTGCAAGCACGCTTTGAAGTTTGAAGAGGCTTAAAGTTCCAAATGTTAATGCTAAGAGCTACCACATGTTAGCTAACTCTCTCCACGCCATTCCAAAATCCAGCACCTTTTTTCTATACAAAATACATGTTTAACTTGCAGCCGTCCAAAAATCTTATACTAATGGTATGTTGGTAGCAGAAAGTTGACCTGAATAAAAAAAAAGAGGGACGGGAGAGGGTGGGGGCTTCTACAACATGAACCTTCAAATTTCAAACCAATACCATCCATATTGTAAAGAACCAATTTGTTTGTTGAGATATATAAAATCATTAATGTAGTCTCACCCAACAGCTTAAGCTTTTGGGATGAGGAGGGGCCTCTACAACATGAACCTTCAAATTTCAAACCAATACCATCCATATTGTAAAGAACCAATTTGTTGAGATATATAAAATCATTAATGTAGCCTCACCCAACAGCTTAAGCTTTTGGGATGAGATATATTATAAAGAACTAATTCAACCCAAAAGCTTAAGCTGTTGGGTGAGGCTACATTAATAGTTTTATATATCTCAACACAATTCAACCCAAAAGCTCAAGCTGTGTTGGGTGAAGTTACATTAATGGATTTATATATCTCAACACGCCCCCTCGCACGAGAGCCCAGTGGCATGTTACGTCAAATAGTTAGTTACCAAAATACAATAATACAAATAAAAAAAAAAAGTCAAACATGGCATGTTCCCCCATGAAACAACTGTTTTGGAAACCACATGTCAACCTGGGATGGGATCTCTAAATAGAATATCCTAGATATCCTAATTTCTGATTTGGGTTCATTGTACTTCTTTTTATGTTCCTCTCTGCAGCCATTTTGATTTGCTCTCCGTGATCAAATGAAACTCATAAACGGTTTATTGTTGTTGTTTCTGTTGCTTGAGTATGTCTGTTTCAATGCGGAATCCAAGTGTAAAAAGGGGTGTGATTTAGCTTTAGCTTCCTACTATGTCATGCCTAATGTTTCACTCAAAAACAATATAACTCGCTTTATGCAATCAAATATTGTGTCCAATTCTGATGTTATAACCAGCTACAATAAAGACAAAATATTCAATGGTGAAGCACTATCCCCTGAGAAACTCAATATTCCATTCCCGTGTGACTGTATAGATGGTGAATTTCTGGGGCATGTGTTTGAGTACTCATATGCTGCCGGAGACACCTATGATGTGATTGCCAAAATGTACTATGTCAATCTTACATCAGTTGAACTTTTGCAGAGGTTCAACAGCTATGACCCATATGATATACCCCTTAATGCCAAGCTTAATGTCACTGTCAATTGTTCTTGCGGGAACAGTGACATTTCAAAGGATTATGGACTGTTTATTACCTATCCTCTCAGGCCCGGGAATAATTTGCAGGATATTGCCAAAGAGACTAACCTTGATGCACAGTTGCTAGAGAGTTACAATCCTGATGTCAATTTCAACCAAGGGAGTGGAATAGTTTTCATTCCAGGAAGAGGTTTACTCTCCTTTTCCCATCACTTTTTGATTCTTGCAAGTACATTGGTTTATGTTTGGTTCTATCTTTAACTTTTCTTTCCTTCTTTTACTTTCCAGATAAAAACGGAGATTATGTTTCCTTGACCCCTAGGTAAATTTTATTGTGTTACCTTTCATGCTGAATGCTCATAATAATGTATATTGGTTTATATTTGGTTCTATCAATATAACTTTCATTTTTTTTCCCTGTTGCAGAATATCTGGTTTGGCCGTCTAACTTCTCAAACAAATTGCTATAAGATGATTATTTTCAGCATGTTCATATAAATATGAGGAATGAAAGAAGGATAGTGCCTCTCTGAGCTTAAATTTCATTTTATGTAAGCAGGTATAATAGCCAATGTAGTAACTATAGGAGGAATATGCGGACTTCTGTTACTAGCAATTTGTAAGTATGTTAGACACTTTCAGAAAAAGATGAAAAAAGAGAAGGCTAAATGGTCACCAGAACATTCTATGGCGCCTTCTACTGAATATGGTATTGAAATATGTGTTGAATAATATGGGTGAATGTAACTGCACTGAATAATATGTGTTGAAACTAATCTCTTGCTTATTTTTAACTTTCACAGTTTATCGTACTACCAGGGTTGGTACTGGCATCAGATTTATTACCACGGACAAATCACCTGAGTTTTCATATGAAGAACTAGCCAATGCCACAAATAACTTCACTTTGGCTAATAAAATTGGTCAAGGTGGTTTTGGGGAAGTCTACTATGCAGAGCTGAGAGGCGAGGTTTGTTATCTTATGCATTGTTAGTTTGATTACATGTATTTGAAAGAAAAGTTGCATATTTAATACGATATTATGCCTTTCTCTTTTTCATGTCTACTTTACCTATTTCTCTTCAACACTATTAGATCACAATCTTAATTGACTTTTACCTTTTCTCTCTCCACCTATTGTTAGTTGAGATTATGATCTAACAGTACTGAAAAAGAAGTAGATAAAATAGGCATTAAAAAAGGTGGGAGAGGTTATATTTACTACCTCTTACTATCACATCTTAACCGTTGATTTCCGTCAATCTAACAGTTATAATTTATTGAAAATTTATAAATTAATAAGTATGACCCAATAATACAATCATTCGATTGACGAAAAATAAGTAGTAACTATAATCTCCCAAAAAAAGGTAGGCATATATCCTGTCCTTATTTTTTAATTGGGAAATGTTATTCGTACTATTTTTTTTTTACTACCTCTTATTACCAAATCTTAAATGTTGATTTTCATCAATCTAACGATTATAATTTATTAGAAATTAATAATTAATTAATAAGTGTGACTCAATATATTATTACTGTTGGATTGACGAAAATTAATGGTTAAAATTTAGTAGTGAGAAAATAATAATAATAAATATAACCTCCTTTTTTTAATTATACGAGGACTCATCAAAATGACGCATTTCAATTTGCTGGGAGGCGAGGCTTGTTATCTAAAGTCACTCACACTTTTTTGTTGTGCTACAAAATTTATCTAATTATTACAGTATACTCTAACTAGGTGCCTTTAGCCCCAAACTACAGACGAATACAACTATTTGATTGATTGGATTCTTCCTGAAGCACGACAGATTATATATGATAACACATTAAGGATATATATGCATTTGTCTCTAGTTTTTGACCTTTTCCGTGTGCTTATTTGAATATTTATGTTGTCTTATTAAGTAAGCTCTCTTCAATTTCACAGAAAGCAGCAATCAAGAAGACGAAGATGCAAGCATCAAGAGAATTTCTTGCTGAACTGAAAGTCTTAACACGTGTCCATCACCTGAACCTGGTAATTTTTAAATCTTAAAAGCAATTTTTAAACTTAAAATAGGAGTAGCAGAAATAAGGATGTCAAGATGGATGTATAGTCATACAAAGATGGATCGGATAAGAAATGAAGATATTTGATGAAAAGTTTGACTAACAACGGTGGAAAAAAAAGAAAAAGAAAAAAGAGAGAACATGGGTTGAGATAGTTTAGGCGTATTCTTAGAAGTAAGAAAAGAAGTTTGACTTGAAAAGAAAAGTAAATATTATTGCTAATTTGCTATTGTAAAGAACACATACAAAAGATTAGGATATATGGAGAGACTAATGAGCTTAAAGGAATAAACCCAAATATAAGGAATCCTAAGAAGATAAGGAAACAAATAATCAAAGATAATTACAACATTAATTAGAGATAATTCTAATATTTAAGTTGAAGAATTAATATTTATCATTCTCAGCTTGTTAGTGTAAGTTCTTGAAATATGTCTGTAGAAAGTCCCTTAGTCAAGACATCAACTAGTTGACGACTATAAGGAATATATGGAGTAGTGATTAGTCCACTATCTAGTTTCTCTTTAATGAAGTGGCAGTCAATCTCAATATATTTGGTTCCATTGTGTTGGATCAGATTGTGGACTATACAGCTGATTGACTTATTATCACAAAGTAACTTCATAGATCCTTCGCATCTCACCTAGAGACTATCAAGAATGATTTTCAGCAATAACAATTCACAAATACCTTGAGCCATGGCTTGAATTCTACCTTTAGACTTGACTTAGTAACCACATTTTGCTTTTACTTTTCCATGTTATTAGGTTTCCAAAAATAACCATGTTATTAGGATAGAATGAAGGAAAGCTATAAACATTGCCCGGAAACAAAAAATTTCTCTGTTTTTATTTATTTATTTTTTAGATCTATATGTATTTATTATTTTTCATATCTACTATTTATTTTCCCTTATCCTGTCCTTGCTTTTATTTAGTTTTATCTATAAATAAAGATGTTTATGTTGAATGTGCCAATATCTTCAATTGTTTGTTTATATTATATTCCATTTTGTTATATTGTAACTTGTATCTACGTATTG